ACTTCAGGAAAGTTATTTTCAGCCTGTTGTAACACTGGAAGCTAACAAAACTATAAGAATTTGTCTCATTCTTCAGACTGGTGTGACCTCACCTCCCTCGACAGTTCTTGTCCTTTGGGGCTGATTACTTCTGAGCAGATGTTGAGCCACTTCTACTCTGGCTTTTTACATTTCAGTGTCTCATAGCCAGTAAGGGTAACAAAATATGCTGAAATCAGTGTTTGGCTAGTGAAGTCCTTCTAACTCAATTGCTGTCTCTCCCTCCTTGAGGAATTCTCTGTGATACCCACTGGGAAGCACTAAGATCTCAGACATAGCAGGTGATGTACATTTTTCTAGCTCCAAAATCCTCTTTGAACCTCTTTTTACATTTCAGTGTCTCATAGCCAGTAAGGGTAACAAAATATGCTGAAATCAGTGTTTGGCTAGTGAAGTCCTTCTAACTCAATTGCTGTCTCTCCCTCCTTGAGGAATTCTCTGTGATACCCACTGGGAAGCACTAAGATCTCAGACATAGCAGGTGATGTACATTTTTCTAGCTCCAAAATCCTCTTTGAACCTTGCACAGGAAGAGCTTTCAGCAGTCAGGACTAGAGGGTTCCATCTGTTTATTTGTCTCCATTTTCTATAGCTCCCATGACCTTTCTTCTTCCTAAACAGCTGAAGCATCAGGAATAGCAATGAGAATGAAAACTACTCCTTTGAAATTCTCAAGTGTTCATGCCAGAGCTTGTAATATTTTAAAATACCACGCGGTCTCTGAAGGCTGCTCACCAAACTTTCAATTCCCCATACAACAGTAACTGGAAAAATATTGCTGCTTCTCTTCAAGAGTTCTAATAGCAGACACACTGGGAAATAAAATGTTTTCTGTATGTCTCAACGGATATAAAAAAAGATACTGAGTCACATCGGAGTAATGCAGAACTGTAACACAGAGCTCTTCCTTGTGTATCTAGGAACAGAGACCCAGAAGTTTTGAAAGGTATAGGTATTGCTCAGTAAAGTTTGAAAGCCACGGTGGAGGAGGAATGGGAGGAAAATAATGTATGTATTATGAATGTATACTTAGAAAGTTGTGAAGTCAGCACTAAGGGAAAAAAATGAAAGGAGCTCATGAAGGTATGTAAACAAGGAATAACAACCAAAGCTAGATGGGAAGAGGAAGAAGAAGCAGGAAAGGCAGAGAAACGAGAGGCAGAAATGGTGGTAGCACAGCCAAAGATGAACACATATACACTTGCTCAATACTGAAGACCTCTTACTGCCACAGCTCACAGTGACAATCAGCAGTGCCATCAGGATTGCTGAAATACATTTTTCAGGAGAAACGGGGATCAAGTTAAACTGCAACCATACTTTTAAGGAGCCCTTAATTAAATTCCTGACAAAAATGACACAGGTACTCTGACAGAAAACTGATGTAAAGTAGCACATCTTTCAGGTTTGTTTCTACATTGCACTGCTGAATTCTAGACAGGATGATTCAGAAGGAACAGAGTTACAATTAATTACTGATAATAACTTTCTGAGAGGAAAAATACAGCACTTAAGTATATGGTATTCAAGGAAATGACATTTTTCAGAATACCTTTTGTAATTTCATGCTCTGTTTCATTGAACTGCTCTTGCATTTTTTACTGAACTAGACCCAACCATGAGTGGCACTGATGGACTTCAACCCAGAGCAGAGCAGAATTTCACAGGCAGGTGAGATACTTGTAAGCAATTAGTTTGTTTATTTTACATTCATTGTTTATTTTATACTAACAATCTGCAGCTCAAATTCTATTCAAAAATTACCTATATACTTAATATTAAAAATGCAAGTTGTATCACAACAGTAAAGTTCATGGATTATAAAATATCAGTACAAGAACTATAAACCAAAGATGGTTTCTGGGATTCTGGGTGCTTGAGAAACCACCTTTCATTTCAAATCTTGAACTTACTCAGTATACACACTCATTGTACCTCAGTACCTACATTGTCTCATTGAAACAAGCCAAGATTCCACCTACAAAATTCTTATTCCCTCCACACTTATGAAGAAAGAAAGAAGCTATAAAAGCACTTTTGGGGGATTAGGAAAGCTGGATTCACCCCTGCAGCCAGAAGTCATCTAGAGCTGTAGTCAGGAGCACTAAAACAAAGAGAAAAGAATGCCAGTGAGTTCTTTGTTTCTTCTTCAAACATATCATGGTTCACTTTAATCAGCCACAAAGGTCATTTCTGAAAGGGGAGAATTCATAAACTGGTTTTCATACACTTATCTTCAGCATCAGCCCTAAACAGTTTATCTAAAGAAGGAATTTCAGGAGGATAATGGCAATAGAAAGCTGTTACCACTTGTGAGAATTAACTACTCTAGAGAGATATTTTGCAATAATATTATATCAACACTTGTTTTTTTCTTTCACTAAAATTAAGTGCATAGAAGAAAGGATCTACTTTATGAGAATATGTATTTTAAAATAAATCCCAAGCTGGTTAGTTCTCTTTGACATTCCAGTAACTCACATTAAGGACATAGGTAAGGAGGGAATGTAATAACAAACATTTCCCCAGTTCATTTTTTCAGCATGTTATGCAATTCATTTTCTTCAGTTTGACATTGTTTAACTTTCTGCCTGAATGCACAAAATTAAATCTGAGGAAAATAAAGAAGCTATTTCAGAAAAAAAAAAAAAAAACAGTTCCATAGCTTACTTCATTTAAATGCAACAAAAAAATGGTCTCATCCACACTACAACCGAGCAGTTTTCCGATGATTCAGACTTGGAACAAAGCAGACCTAAAACTTCTGATGCTGGAAAAGGATGCATTCCCCCTGGGTTTGCTCGGACATCATGTGTTCTGCTCTGGGGCCTCCAGCAGAAGAAATATATGAATCTTCTCAAGCAGATTCAGAGGAGGACAAGAAGATGGTCAGATGGCTGGAGCACCTCTGCTATGAAGACAGGTTGAGAGAGCTGGAGTTGTTCAGCTTGGAGAAGGCCCAAGGGGGACCTTAAAGCAGCCTTCCAGTATCTAAAGGGGGCCTACAAGAGAGCTGGAGGAGGATTCTTAATCAAGGAGTGCAGTGATAGGTAAACTTGCTACTTCCTCTTTGTTTTTCCTTTTTTCCAGCTTTGCTCTGATTTTCCTCAGGGTTCTTGTTATGGAGCTTTATGCCCCAGCCTGGTTCTTGGCTGATTTGGGCTCTGGCCAGTCCATGCCAGGAACCAAATGGAATTTGAAAGTCACAACCCTGTGGCTGATGCTTCCCCTTCTGCAGTTTCCTTGCCTTCTCCAGCTCAGGAAATCTAGGCAGTCCTGACAATTTCCCTGTTATGATGCACTCATTGTCTTTCAATTTCCCCATCTGAGGCCCATCTATGTGATCCCAGTATTGCTGAGTCCTCCCAGAAGCCAGGTATGCTCTCCTTTCCCAGAAGACAGTCCCATTCCCATTGATGGGACCCTCGAGTCTATGTGGATGGCTGTGTGATGGTCTCAGTCTGCATTCTGGCCTACCAACCTTCCTGTCCCCAGGGTGAAGCAAGGATTTAGACCTCTCTAAGAATTTTAGTTTTGGCTGTGATCTGCAGCCTCGTGGCAGTTAAGTTTTTGCAATTACTACTAGCCCACTTCTTCCCAAGCAGGAGAACTTCATCCAATTTAGGCTCTCTCTAGTGACTTATCCCCCCAAGAAAGCAAATACTCCAGTGTCAAGAAGGAGATAGTGCATTAACAGTAAGAGCTGGGGGGAGGAGAGGATTCTGCTGACACTTGCTGAGATCAGCTAATTGCAGTGTTGCAGACAAAACCTCAAGGAGATCACAATATGACTGGAAAAGGGAAGCATTTGCAATCCTGGGCTCTGACCATTCCCTGCCTGACACCCAAATGGAATCTGAAAGTTGCAAATCTGTGGTCAGCACTTCTCCTTCTGTGGTTTCCTTGACTTCTCCAGCTAAGCAAAACTGGGCAATCTTGGCATAATTTCCCTGGTATAATGCACTCATTTCCTCTCCTTGAAATACTGGGGGAATAGGAGGAGGGGAGCAGCAACAGGGGCTGAGCATCATGAAGAGGAGAGCCCTACAGCCACCCCAGCTCCAGCCCCACTTGTGTTCCCTCCATGCCTGCAGCACCATGAAGTTCATAGAATTGAATCATAGGATCATTTACACTGGAAAAGATCTTTAAGATCATCAGGTCTAACTGTTAACCCAGCACTACAAAGTCCACTGCTAAACCATGTCCCTAAGTGTCACATCTACATGTCTTCTAAATACCTCCAGAGGTGGTGACTCCACCACTTCCCTGAGTAGCCTGTGCCAGTGTTTGACAACCCTTACAGTAAAGAAATTTTCCATAATATGCCCTGGCTCAACTAGAAGATTTAAGATCATCAGGTCTAACTGTTAACCCAGCACTACAAAGTCCACTGCTAAACCATGTCCCTAAGTGTCACATCTACATGTCTTCTAAATACCTCCAGAGGTGGTGACTCCACCACTTCCCTGAGTAGCCTGTGCCAGTGTTTGACAACCCTTACAGTAAAGAAATTTTCCATAATATGCCCTGGCTCAACTAGAAGACATTTCCTCTTATCCTGTCACTTGTTACTTGGGAGAAGACACCCACCCCACCTTGCTACAACCTCCTTTCAAGTAGTTGCAGAGAGCAATTATGTCTCCCCTCAGCCTCCTCTTCTCCAGGCAAAACAACCACAGCTCCCTCAGCTGCTCCTCATAAGACTTGCTTTCTCTTGACTCTGAAAGTTGAAGCTCTGTAGTGGGCACTTCCTCTTCCTTGGTTTCCTTGCCTTATCCAGCTCAGCACTTGGTGATAATTTCCCTGGTATGATACACTCATTTTCTTTCCTTGAAACCATGTGGCCAGACAGTGGCTGGAGTATAAAAGGAGGTCAGGGCTGAGCATCTTGCAGAGAAGAGCCTTGCAGCCATCTCAGCTCCAGCCTCACTTGTGGTTCTCTCAGCCCTCCCAGGACCATGAACATCCTTACAGCCACCCTGGCTGTTCTGCTCCTTGGGACCATCTGCTCCCTGGCTGAGGCTGATCTTGATGATTCCAACATTGCTGCTTTATCCCAGAAGCTAGATATGCTCTCCTTCCCTGGGAGAGAGTCTCATCCTTGTTGATGGGACCCTCATGTCCATGGGGAGGGCTGGGAGAGGATGGCCATCACCAGTGCAGGGACTAGACTGAGATGGAAACTTCCAGGGGGTGTCAGGAGATACAGCAGAGGTGATGGGGAATCCCCTCGGAGCTGCAGGCAGAGCCTCTGCCACAGCATGGGGTCTCACTGGGCCTGTCTCTCTGCCCTCACAGACATCCCGCACGTCTGCTGCGTCAGCTATGTTCAGCGTCCTATTCCGCGCAACACTATCACCGCCACCTACAGGACCAGCAGCCACTGCCCAAAGCCAGGCGTGATGTGAGCACCCAACATCGCCAGGGGTCGGGGTGTGACAGCCAGGGCAGCATCCCAGGGGTGTCCAAGGATGTCCAGGAGGGGGAAGTGGGCATGGACATGGACACCCGGGGCGCTGCCAGTGGAACCTAGCACAGGCAGCCTGCTGCGCCGGCTGATCACCCCAACGCTGTTTTTTTCCCAACAGCCTGGTCACCAAGAAGGGGAAGGAGCTGTGCGCAAACCCCAATGCTCGCTGGGTGCAGACATATTTGAAGGACTTAGAGATACTGGAGCACTAACTCTTCCCAACTGCCACCCCAGTGCAATGGGCTTGGCCCCGAGCACCAGACACACAACAAGAGTGCTTCAGCTGCATCCTTCTTCGATGGGAAAATTGATTACAATTGACATACATTTGTTAAACTGAATTTTGTTTGCTAAGAAGGTGAAAATATAAAAGCTATCTAAAAGGTATCAATGTGCCCAAATAAAGTGTTTAGACTGTCAAAACCTTTGGGTGTCTCTGAAGTCTCTACTGGAGCATCAATCTGACAGAAGGGATCCCTGGGAAGCCCCTTGCCTTCCCCACTGATATTCCCTGTGCAGGGTGGCCCCATGACAGCTCCCACAGTAATTCCCCATCCCCAGTCTGGACTCAGCTCCAGCTCCCCAGCATGACCTAGACATACCTGTGAGGTCAGACACGACCTGTGGGGAGACACCAGCGTCTCACCCATTTCTTGGCACCCTCCCCACACAGCATATGTGGAGTCCAGTAACAAAGCCACTAGGCGAGGCAGACTCACTGGGTATCTGCCACCAGCATAGTGACATATTTGCCCCAAACACTGGAGGATCAAGACAGTCTTTGACCAACAGCTGCGTCCCCACACTTAGTCGTCTCCTACACTACAGCTCCCTGCAGTGATGGAGCTGAGGTCCTGGTCCTGCAGGATGCTGCTGTCCCCACATACACAGATACTGTCCCACAGTGCTGCCAGAGGAGCAGGCAGGAGTAGGCAGCACTGTCCCCAGTGCCTGACATCACCTCTGCCCTCACTCCACCTCCCAGCTCTTGGGGAGGTGAGTGGGACACCTCTGCAGCTGACGTCAGCTCTGCCCAGAGCCAGGCACTGTGCTCTGCCCTTGCACCACTTCTGCTTGGGCCAGGACATACAGAACAATACCAAATGGATGTCACTCGACACAGATATAAGGGCACTGGAGAATGAGATCCAAGAAGCCACCATAAGCAAACTAACGGTGCCGCAGCCCTCATCTATTTCTAAAAATTCCCACAGTGCAGCTCAAAACCTCAAGGAAATGAAAGAAAAAAGCTATGCTCAAGCAGGCTTAATACAAGAAGAGGGGGAACCTGTAAGAGTTTATTTAGCATGGAAGTTGAATTTATTTGTAGAGAGCCTGGAAATGCAATCAATACTTGAAATGACAGGCAATACAAAACCACCTATTCCAAAATGACTCAATACATATATACACTGGAATAATGAGACTAAAACAAGCTCTAAATCAAAAAATTGATATGTAGACCTCTGTAAGATTTGAGCAAGGATGATGGGCTTCTTTTTCCATTTTCATTTTGCTGTAGTTCAATGTGCACTTCAATGGTCACTTCAATTGCTCTTCAATGCGATGCATATTGCAATGCCCTTGCCCATTTCTGCAATTTAGTCTTATGGCTTTTAGGTTAATAAGCTTGTAGATTAAACAGCTTCTAGATTAATAAAATTGAAAATCTCTACCTTAGGAAATGTGGAAGTGAAAAGACAAGATTTTTATATTGCTTACAAGGCAAAAATGAGAGTCCAATAAAAATCCTCTATGGGACATTGTTTTCCGAAATCTCATTGCAGTTTAGGCAATCTATTTGTTCTGATAGGACTGATTTATAATGCATGAAGTCTTGGTATTGGTAGCAAACAAGCTGATTTCAAACAAACTACTTATTACATTTCTCACAATCCTCCTCCCCACACTATCATCTTCATGTGCTGTCGCAGGCAGAGGTGTCACCCCCAGAGGAGGACAGAATCCTTCTTCCCCTCATAGGGAGCATTAGGGAACTGGTCCCTATTCTTGACTTCCACCCTTCCTGAGATGCCTTTTTCTGTATACTCTTGAATATTGTGCTAATATCTGAAAACTTTATTTGATCAAAGTAGTAGTGTTCAAACTCAATGTGTCCCCTTTTTCTTGCACAGCTGGTAGCAGCATCTTGCTGAGGGATGCACAGAGTACAGGAGAGTGTTTGATCTAGTTACTGCAGGCTGGGGGGTGGGAAACCCAAAAAACACCCAAAGAAACAAACCACAAAACCTGTCACATTCAGCATATTTTGTGAAGAAAGCACTCAGGAGAATGAAGGGAAGGAGGGAGCGATCAGGAGAGCCAGAAGAGCAGAGCAGGAGCAGCCGCCCAGAATCATTTCATCATAGCAGCCTTCCAGTATCTGAAGGGGTTACAAGGAAGCCAGAGAAGGACTCTTTGTTAGAACTGCAGTGACAGGATAAGGGGCAACGGCTACAAATTGAAAGAGGGGAAATTATATCAGATATTAGGATAAAGTTTTGTCCTGTGAGGGTGGTGAGACACTGGAACAGGTTGCCCAGAAAGATAGTAGATGCCCCAACCCCGGCAGTGTTCAAAGCCAGGCTGGATGAAGCCTTGAGCAACCTGTTCTGGTGGGAAGGTGCCCCTGACCATGACAGTGCGGGTTGGGACTAGACGATCTATAAGGTGGATGAAGATCTATAATTTGGATGAGAAACTCACCATGATCTGGCAGTGTGTGCTAGCAGCTCAGAAAGCCAATCGAATTCTGAGCTGCAGCAAAAGAAGTGTGGCCAGCAGGTCAAGGGAGATGATTCTCCCCCTCTACTCTGCTCTCGTGGGACCCCACCTAGAATACTGCATGCAGTTCTGGTGCCCTCAACATAAGAAAGACATGGAACTGTTGGAGCAAGTCCAGAGGAGGCCACAAAGTTGCAAAGAGGGCTGGAGCATCTCCCCTATGAAGACAGGCTGAGGGAGTTGGGGCTGTTCAGACTGGAGAAGACTGTGTGGAGGCCTCACAGTAACTTTTCGATATCTGAAGGGCCTACAAGGGAGCCAGGTTCTTTGTTACGAACTGCAGTGATGGGACAAGGGGTAATGGGTTCAAACTGAAGGAGGGGAAGTTTAGGTTAGATATTAGGGAAAAGGTTTTTTTACTATAAAGGTGGTGAGACACTGGCAGAGGTTGCCCAGGGACGTGGCAGCTGCCCCAACATTAGCGGTGCTCAAAGCCAGGTTAGACGAAGCCTTGAGCAACCTGATCTAGTGGGAGGTGTCCCTGCCCAGGGCAGGGGGTTGGGACTGGATGATCTATCAGGTCCATTCCAACCCCTAAAACTCTATGATTCAGGGTCCGTTCCAACCCCTAAGACTCGATGATTCAGGGTCCATTCCAGCCCCTAAAACTCTATCATTCTATGACACGAAGCCAACTGAAGAGAAGCAGCTCAAACCTAACTCTCCTCACACTACGCACACCCAAACCAGACTCGGGACTCTCCCCCTAAACTGGACCCCGATCCAGTCCTCCAGCACG